GTTCTATATACTTAATGTTTTAACTGTGATATGCCTTGGGGATATTTTTTCTGGTCTTATCAGTTTGATGTTGCATGTGCTTCTTGTATCTGCATGAGTATGTTTTTCCTTAGTTTGGGGAATTTTCCTATTATGACCTTATTGAAGATCCTTCTATGCTGTTAACTTGGAATTCTTCTTCATCTATTCTAGAGGATGAGAACATTTTTGGAGGGAAAGATCAGATAGACTCACTGGGCTAGACCTTGGCATAAGATTACAGCACCTAGCTGAATAGAGAGATTGGATGTAGTTCACAGGGCCCATAGTTTGTGTGCTGTAAGATCAGGGCTGTCCCAAATAGGTCTAGGCACTAGATGTGGGACCCAGGGTAGATCTGGGGATGTAGAGTATATGGAGTGGAGGCTCTAGTAGACTTACCTCACTACACCCTGGTGCAAGTTTTACCGAGCATAGCTGAGAGGTGACTGTTAGATGATCACATGAGGAGTCTGACTATAGGTTGTTGGTAGATGGCACAGGTCCTGGCCAGAGCCTCGAACCTGGGGTTATCACAAGTCAGATTGACCAGATTAGATCATGGCACTGGATGTGAGACCCAAGCTATATTTGGTAGTTGGTGAGTGTATGGAGGGATGGAACAGGTAGACTCATCTCGCTAGACACTGGTGCAAGATGTGAAGGACCTGGTGGGTGGAGACATTGGGTGGGTATAAAAATTCTTATTAAAACTAGGTAGGAAAGTATGTAATTTGTGTAGTAGTATAAAAAATATGATAAAAACAAAAGATATGAACTAGATGCACATGTGGTAAATTATACCCAGAGATATATTTTGTTTAACTTTTAACATGTCTTTTATTCTTTTTATTACCAAAATAGAATAATTGTTCATATTTATGGGACACAATATGGTATTTGAAACAAGTATATAGTATGCAATATTAAATCAGATTAATTAACATTTTCATCTCCTAAAGTTATCATTTTTGAGCATTTGGAACTTTTCATTTCCTTTCTTCATATTCTTTATAAAATATGTAATAAATTACTGTAACCTTCTTATGCTGTAAAACATTAGAACTTTTCCCTCCTATTATGACTGTATCTTGATGCCCATTATCCAACCTTCTCATGGTTTGAAGAAGATATCCCCTATAGTCTTGTGTATTTGAATGTATTTGAATACTTGATCCCTGGTTGTGGTATTTGGAGAAGATTAAGAGATGTGTCCTTGTTGGAGGAACTAAGTCACTGGGGGCAAACTTTGAGAATATAAAGACTCACACTATTTCAAGTTTGTTTTCTCTGCTTCATGTTAATGGTTCAAGATATATCCCTTTGTTCCATCATCATGGACTCTAACCTTCTGGAACTATAAGCCCCCAAAACCTCTTCAGTAAGTTGCTTTGATCAAAGTCTTTTATCTCAGGAAAGTAACTGTACACTTCCTCTATCATGCAACCTATAACTCTTCCTTATCTAGTGACTACTATTCTATATTCTTCATCTATGAACCATTTCTTGCTTCCACATAGAAACAAGACTGTGCAGTATTTGACCTCCCTAATCTTCAACCTTAATACAAGATCTCTTTAGTAACTTAATAACATTAATAACTTCACCCAGATCTAATTTTAATATTCTTTCCAACATTGTCCTATATCCTTAATATCTGTTCCCATGCATTTCCTTTGGATTTTTGTGTTCATGTTTCAAAACTCAAGTAGTTCTTTTCAAATGTATTGTACATCCTCATGGGTCATGCTCTGTACCTCATATTTATGTGCCTGCTGATGCTTTGGTCTAATTGTAGAGCTAGAGTCAAAGAAAAGTGAGTTCTGAGGAGAGAGAATCGGCATTGTATTGTATTGGGGTCACAGTTTTCTGGTGCATCCCTTCAGTCAAGGATGGAAAAGTAAATGAAGAGTCTGCTTCCACTGGCAATATGGGAGGCATCTACCTCTGACAAAGAATATTCATCAGAATTTAGGAGGACAATATCCCTGACTTCCCCAGGTCTTCATATAGAATCCTACTCTTTCATAGACAGTGACCCTAGTTTAGCAGTAAACACCCTACAAGACCAAAAGTTCAACTTGCATTGTAATTTAAGTAGTCCCAAGATGAAATTCTGTATTTGATTTTCACTAATACCTGTTCTGTGACTGCAGAAGATAAGCATCTCCTTTAGGAGAAACATAGAAGCTTTTAGGTCATTTATGTATTGAGCAGGAAGTTTGAAGCCCATATCTCAGTCTTTTTTTTTTCATTACTTTTCTAGTGTTGTTAGGAACAACAAGGCAATCTCATTAGTTTTCTTAAAATATTCAAAAATATATTCACAGTCACCAATCTCCTTGCTTCTTGTAGTGATTGTTAGCATTTATTGAAGAAACTTTAGGCATCTGCACTGCCAGAGCATGTCATAGATTACCAGTACCCTCTTTAATACTGAAATGTAGTAATTAATTTAACTTAATTAAATCAAATTTTAAAAGCTTAATTTGAATAATATAAGCAACCTACTTTCAGAAAGTCAAACAAGACAATTTCAGAAAATAACTTTTAAATTTTTATCTCTAGAATCAGATGCAGTACCAAAATCTATATTATTTATGTTATTTGGAAGAAAGAAAATCAGTAAATTAGATAAGATAAAAAGATGTCTAGATGATAGATAGATAGATAGATAGATAGATAGATAGATAACTTATTGTGAGAATTTAGTTCTAACAACTAGAAAGGTTGAAAAGTCTCACCATCCACATATGAAAGCTGCAGTCCCTGAAAGGTGGTGGTATAGCTCCAGTTTGCACTAAAAGGCCTAAGCATGAGGAAAACCAACTGTGTATATTCTAAGCCAAATCCAAACACTTCAGAACCAGAAAGCTGATGGTGCAGTTTTCAGTTTAAATCTGAAGACTTGAAGAAAAAGTAGTCTAAACTGCTTAAGCTCCTGTAGCAGAGCAGCAAGACACTAATATCCCAGCTCATGCACTCAAGTAGAGAATAGAGTCTCCCTTTCTTTGCCTTTTTGTTCTATTCAAGCCCTCTTCAGATTGAACATAGCCAACCCACATGGCAGATTATCTGCTTTTCTGATTATACCTATTTAAAGGTTACTTTCCTCTAGAAACACCCTCATAGCACACAGATATAAAATCCATCCAGGTATACAGGACCCCTGTCGTTCATATCTCTGTTGGTGTGTTAAAACATTAACCAAATGCTACTTGGAGAGGAAAGGGACTATTTCATCTTACACTTTTAAGTAACATTTCATCTCTTAGGGAGTCAAGGCAGGAACACAAATATATGAATACCCAGTTGTCTTTATTCTCTTCTCTGTTGCTTAGACTGAACAAAAGCAAGTTGGAGAGGAAGGGGTTAATTCCATCTTAGACTCCAAATAACATTCCACCAAGGGAAATTAAGGCAGGAACTGAAGCAGAGACCTTAGAGGAACACTGCTTACTGCATTGTTCTCCATGGTTTGCTCAGCTACCTTTCTTTTTTAACCCAGAACCACCTGCCCAAGGATGGCACCATCTACAGATATCTGGGCCCTCACACATCCATCATCGATCAAAAAAACACATCACAGACACGCCCACAAGCCAATGGAATTCCTCAATTCAGGTTCTCTTCCCAGTTGATTCCAGTGTGCATCAAGCTGTCAGAAGCCAACCAGCACACAATTAAGTTGACACATAAAATTAACCATTAAGCCATTCAAAGAACACAAAGATAAGAACACCAAAGGCATAAAGAACTGTAAAGGCCACGAGACAAAGTGTTGCCATTTTATAAGGGCAAAAAGTAGCCAATATCACCGGAGCATGGAGAATGGAGAGTGGCATAAAGTATCCTTGAAAAGTTAGGCAGAGGCCACAAACTAAGGTACATAATTTGGATCTTATTCTTAACATGTTGGAAATTACCTGAATGTCAAAGGAATAATAATATCATTTGATTTACTTTTTAACAAGTCATCTAGCAACTCAGAATATTAAGTACTATATGGAAGCAACAATGAAGACTAATGATCAATTACAGAACTATCACAGGCATCTATTGAGAAATAATATACTTTCTCCCCCCCTTCATCCGTCTCCCCCACACATACACAAACAGGACTCTGCTGAATTTGTAGCCTATTGTGTTAAATCATTTATATGTGCCTAATGCATACTTTAAATAAAACTTTTATATTTCTCAAATTATCTGTACCTTTAAGTTTTAGAATATAACAATAACATTATACAATTATACATAGCAATACCCTATCAGTAAATGAGAAGAAGAGAATAATAAGTGTCTTTAATTGGGAAAGAAAGGAAGGAGGGAAAGGAATCTGTGTGTGTGTGTGTGTGTGTGTCTGTGTGTGTGTCTGTGTCTGTGTCTGTGTCTGTGTCTGTCTGTATGTTTGTGTGTGTGTGTGTATATCCCAAAACTAAGAAATCAGAAAAACAACTGTACAGGTTAGAGTCCTGCCATCCATTTACCTTGATATGGCACAGTTTTCTATTTCTTTATCTATAAGATGGGGGAAGTAACAAGATGTTCTAGACAGAATGTCTCTTCCCTTCTTCAAATTGTTATTCTGGAAACTACATTCTTTATCATATTGTAGAAATTATATCTATCTTATGCAATATAACCTCTGGAGATAGGAGATAAATTCTTATTTTCAGAGAGAAAAGTTGGAATAAACAGACTAAATGAATTCCTTAATCACTGAAAGACTTGATAGTCCTTAGCTTATAATACAAAATGTTGTGGTCAGTTATCCAAATATGAAACATTTCCTCTTTCTTTCATCCCTTAAAGGTGTTTTTAAGACAAAATAATCACCTACCACAATCCTCTATGTTGGGAGCTTGAAATGCATTTGACCATTTGTAGTCACTGTGTAACAAAATATATCCACAAACTAGTAAAGTGTAGGGTCTCATATTGACCCTGAACTCATACTAACCATTTTCTATTTCCTATAGCTGTACGGTTCTGTGACCGGTGTCATCTAATCAAGCCAGACCGCTGCCATCACTGTTCTGTCTGTGCCATGTAAGTGACAACTATACTTTCCCTGGGCTGATGCTGGCCACTGATGGTTGCCTTGACAACAAAATGACTGATCCTGACATGTAACCATGCCTAGATAAGAGCATTTCTTTTGAGGCATAATGAACACATGCCAAACACTCTCACGGGGGTGATAATCATTCTAAAGATAGAAAACTAATACTGCATTTTCAAATGGAAGCTTTCATTTTACATTATTTCAGATTTATAGATTTCTTGTGAAGAGAATTCTCCTATGTCCCACACCCACTTTTCCCTATTATTAATATGTTCCATTAGTATGACACATTTGTAAAATTAATAAGCCAATATTGAGACATTGCTTTTCATTATATTCTATTCTAATACAGCTTAATTATCAAAATGAAATGTTCCTCTATGTAATTTACAGCTTATTCCATTCAAACCTATGCTATATAAATATCCTTGTCCAGATGTCATCTTATATGTGTGTCAGTATATTTGTTGGATGCTTTATATATAACTTTTAAGTGAGATATACTTTTTAGATATCCTAACTTACCCCATAATATTAATTTTCGGTCCCAAGATTTCATCCAGCATACCACATTACATTAAGAAGTCATGTCTCTGTAGGTCCTCTAACCCATGTCATTTTTGCAGACTTTACCTTGGTTTTCATAACACTGACAAATTTGAGGATTAAGAATGAGATGCATTATAAATTTTTCCTTTGTTGAAATGTTTTTGCCCTTTTCTTATGATCATTGGGGTAATGTAATTTGTGGAGGAAGACCATGGAGATAAAGTACTATTCTCATTATATAGTATCAAGGGTACATATAAATGTGACTTTTGACTTCAGTGTTAATATTGAACCTTTCTCTCAACTGATGTTTGCCAGATGTTTCCAGTATAAAATTATTCTGTCCCGCTCTCATTACTGACCTGTGTTCTTTGGATAGAAGTCACCATAGATAGTTCCCACTAAAGGATTCCTCTACTTGAAGGTGAATATCTGCATAAATTATTTAGAATACATCTGCATAAGGAGCTGTGTCTCTTCTGCCCCACGTATTTGTTTATTCAATCATTTGAATCAATACAGAGGCATAGATAGTTATTTTGTATTTATGTTATTAACCAAAATTGTATTTTATTTTGTCTCTCAAATTGTTCCAAGTTTGTAAAATCCCATTTTTTTGTACAGTCTTCAAGCCTTTGTTCTTGAGTACCTGTTCCACTATTTCTCTTACTCTTGATTCAAATGCAAGCATATATTTTTCCCTTGCATTATTATTAAACTAAGCAAACAAAGCTAAAGGTGGCATCTTGAGCCTTTTCACTGGATCACTAGTCTCGCATGCCCTGTTCCTTTCAAGGTTGCACTTCTAGAGTTGTGATTTGCTGCAAGCTATGTAATCCAAGAGTGTTCTCGTGATTTGGTCATCCTGTGAGTAATTGAGGAGGCAGTAATTTTAAAGTTACCGGGATAGAAGTTTGAAAATAGTTTTGTTGTAACTGTAAAAATATTGCTGAAATCTTGAATTTAATTTTGAGGTATTTCTCCATTTTCATAGCCATGTTTATCACACTGTATTTGGTCCCCTTTGTAGGTGTGTTTTAAAAATGGACCATCACTGCCCATGGTAAGTCCTTTTGATTCGTTTCTATCCTCTAAAAGGGTCAAAGTTGTTCAATATACCCACTTTCCTAATCTCAATTGCAACATGCCTGCTTTTGCTGATATAATTCACTGTACTTTGTACTTATGTGAGGTGGGGAGCAAGGAAGAATAACATTTTAAAACAAGGATTAAAATACTAGTAAAGATATGGTAGTGAATCCCTGAGATCACAAAGCTAGTAGTCTTCTGTCCATTAGCTTTACCAACTGAGCATAATAATGAAATACAACACAAGTATTTCTCTTGTTCCACATTACGCAATTCATTTCTGTTTTTAGATGACTTTTTGAAATGTTACAAATACTTAAGTTCAGAAATTCCTCTATCAAAGTTGTGTTTCGGACCAAAAAAGAAAAAATTATGGAATCACCTAATTGCAAAGAGCACATGCCAAAGTGTAGCTACTAAAACTTTACCATGTTTTTAGCAATGAAAATCCAGGTTTGCTTGGGTGTTTCAGGAGGCATTCTAAAGCTATTACGTAGTTCAGGTAACTCTGTGCCAGTCAATAAAAAGAGAAATAAGTGAGATATGAACTTGTTTGCCTGTCTATTTATATTAAGGGACTTCTATCTCTCTTGGATTTCTACACAACCCATAATGAAGCAACAGGAATCATGTGCTTCCTTCAGTTAGTCCACTTAAGTATCGCTGTGTTCTCAATCAATAGGTCTTGATTTCACATTAGCTTTCTTCTCCTTTTTAGGGTTAATAACTGCATTGGATTTTCCAACTACAAATTCTTCCTTCAGTTCTTAGCTTATTCCGTTCTCTACTGCCTGTACATTGCTACAACAGTCTTCAGCTACTTCATCAAATACTGGAGAGTAAGTTTTGAAAAACCCTGATGGGTTCCCTCCAAGGTAAATTCATACATAGTCTCTCTAAATGTAACAGTCCCCACCCATACCCTTTGCATTTTGAAATAATGAAGTCACCAGAAATCAAGGTAGTAAAAACGAGTTTTCCATATTGAATAATCTGGGTTTAAGAAACTGTTGAGTAAAGATTCCAGTTTAAACAATTCTATATCAACTGTCTGGGAGAGTAATCTCTCTGCTGACCCACTCTTTAAAATGTGTATCTGTGGTTGAGGGTTTTTGGTTTTTTTTTTACCAGTTGTATATTTGAAAAAAAATGTTGAAACTAATTCCAAATCACTAGTTTCTTTTTTTGTTTGTTTTGTTTTGTTTTTTGAGACAGAGTTTTTCTGTGAAGCTTTGGCTGTTCTTGAACTCTCTTTGTAGACCAGGCTGGCCTTGAAGTCACAGAGATCCACCTCCATCTGCCTCCCTGCCTGCCTTTAGTACTGGGACTAAAGGTATGCAACAGCACTGTCCAGCCAAATCACTAGTTTCTTAAACAAACAAAAAGAGTTAATGGAAAATTGTTAAAAAATTCTTAGTAATTCCATGAGCAGAAGGTAGTTGCAAAGTTTCTGTTGGGAAGATCCGCTGATGGGCACATAGGCTCATACACATATGCACAAAATGAAACAGAAAGTCTCTTTTGAACTTGGTGGGTTTTCCTTTGGAAGGCAGGCTTTCTCTGTGTAACCCTGGTTGTTCTGGAACACCTCAAACTCAGAGACCTGCCTGCCTCTATCTCCCAAGTTTTGAGACTGACTAAAGGCATCTAACCTCTCTTTTGAACTTTGTATGACAACAGTAGTTTGAGAATTGAGAGAAGGGGAGTTGATACTGGCTCTGTCGCTTGCTTCTCTGTCTCATTACCAATATCCAATGGAACCTATGGTAATTCTTATAATTATCGTGAAATCTAAAAAAAGACAATAATAAAACTTACTTTCATGTTTCTCCTACTTGGAGATATCAGTCATATCCCATCTATTTTAAAACATCAAGGTAAATTTTCTATTTGCATAAATGTATAATGCCTGGTAAAATATAATTAAATATGCTGTTTGTCACATTCATTCAGTTAGACTCTCAAAGAAATCCCTTTCCTACACTAAAGTACAGTTAATAAGGTGTCTACAGCGAGAGTTATCCAACCAGATGTGAATAGGAAAACACAAATGTGAGTAGAGCTTCTGGTTATTACTTTAGACATTTTACAAGAGCCTATCTAACAGGGATATCACATCTTAGCTAGAGCAGTAAACCAGCAGGGAAATAACATAAATCACATGGTCAGAATATAAATTATAATGAATTGGAGAAAAGAAAAAGACAAGGCACAGAGAGGCTAAATAGCTAAGAATATTTAAATTAGGAATCAGTGCTTTTATTCCTAGTAATGTAGATTACACTTTCTATTCAACTTGCTTAATCAGTTCAGATATTTAATAGTTATACGAATCAGGAGCTACATAGTGGATATCAAAATCCCCAATTCGAATTACAAACAGAAGGGATGAGGTTATTCACATATATTTTCTTCAAATAGGAAACATTTCACGAAGCTACACATCTTGATAGCTCTTCTTTGGCCCGTTTCCACAGCACAAGATCTATTCCCCATCGCTCAGGTTTCCATGATCTATTTGGCATTCCATCTACATGCCGAGTTATTGCTATTAATATGAAGAAAATCGACAGTATCCAATCAGCAGTGAAGTGTGCGCCTTGATCTTTCTTACATACCTTTCTTGGTCCTTAACACAGTGCTCTACTATTGAATCATGGCTCTTTTCCTTTATCACAAAGTAAACAGCATTGTAGTTCACACATTTTGCCTTTAGCTCCCGTAGCCAACCAATAATCAAACATCAAAATGCAAGCCAGGTACTGTATGCCTTCCTTCACTCTTAAAAGATGGTAACTGAGTATGAAATCATCACAAGAAATGTGCCAGAAGTACCAGCAAATTCATGGTGAGCATGGGCTTTTCTTTTTTTTAATATATAATTTATTTATTTTTTCAAATTGTAATTTATACTCATTCACACAGGAGTTACAAACACAAAAAGGCAGGACGTGGGGAAGGGGATGACACTGGAGCGTAGGTGTTCAGGGGGAATACAGATATCTTTCAGAACAGGGTATCGGCTGGGTGAGAGTTCAGGGGACAGGTCACTATGACTCTGCCTATGATTCACCTGTCCTTATCTAAGTTGGTATTATCTGCTAAGGCATGAATACATTTTTTTTTTGATTTTTCGAGACAGGGTTTCTCTGTGTAGCCCTGGCTGTCCTGGAACTCACTCTGTAGACCAGGCTGGCCTTGAACTCAGAAATGCACCTACCTCTGCCTCCCAAGTGCTGGGATTAAAGGCGTGCGCCACCACTGCCTGGCGAGCATGGGCTTTTCCTATCCCATAATTGTTTTTCCTCCACAATAGTCTAGCTTATGCCTGTCTTCTGAGATGCTTGTCATAGTTTGTGCTTACACTGAAAAGGGCATTAACAATTTGGTGAAATGGTTCTTTGCAGTCACTCTGGCCATAGGACCACGTAAGTATAGCATAAGGATGGATGGCTTTCTGAGTTTAAGTTGAGCCTCTTTTTAAAATAAAACATAAACACTGCCATATATTTTTAAAGCCACATCAAAGAGAAAAGCTGTGTTCCCAAGAACAGCAACTTCTATTGTATGGTATTTTATGGTTCTTAAAGTATTTTTATATTGATGATTTCATCAGATCCTCACCACAACCTTGTGAAGGAGCCAAAGTAAAAACTATTTGTCACATTCAAAGATGACAAAGCTGAGGCTCACAGCATTTAAGTAACATGTGGAAGATCACCTGGCTTGTAAATTTTGAAGGGAGAACTTAAACATAACTATGCCCATAAGCTCTGTGACTACAGGTACTATGCCTGTGATGGTTCTCCTATACAAAGACTTTATCTCTTTTAGAAAAAAGAATTCAGAAGACCATCACATCATTTCTTTCATTTTAGTATTTAATTAAACAAGTTTACTCTCAATGGAGAGATTAATATTTGCTTTCTGCAAAATTAATAATGTATACCTACCACACTGGTTTATGAACCTCTTCACAAAGGTAATGAACTATTATTTTAGGAGCTTAGTAATTACTATTTCTCAAATATTCCTCTGAACTGTCTCTGGTGATCATGGCTTTTGGTGATTTAACTTGGTTATCTCCTCAAAATGCAGTTTTGAACATAGGATCTATTTGCACAAGAACAGTTGATACTGTGAACCCTATCAATGTACAGCACAGCAGACACCAGTCTACACCAGACAGACAACCTCTGAAAGAGTGATGGATCACAGCTACACAAGATGTGAGCAGACTTTCAAAACAGCCTGACTTACTTAGCTATTTCCTATTGACAATTTTAATATTAAAAAAGTAAAATCAATGTGAACTTTTTTTTTCAAAAAGTAGAAATCATGAGATCAAAATCTCAGTGAAGGCAAGAAGCACTACAAAATAGTACTTGGAATTTTACCTAAGAACAACAACAAAAACAAACAAAACAAAAGGAAAAAATAACCATGAATCAAACCAACCTGGAACCAAGCCAACCCAATCTGGGTGTTTAGGCCAAGATTTTATGGCGGGAACATCTCAGGAGGGAGGGTTTCAGATAAAAGTTCCTAAAAGTTGAAGTCCTTAAGGCAGCTATTTACTGGAATGCTCTGTCCTGTGCAGGTCTCACCCAGACCCCCCTCAGTTGAGAGTATCTGATGTGCTTGCTTCCCCTTATCTTCATACTGCAAACATATTCGACCTGGAAGAGGTCCAGCATTTCCGGAATTCTGTAAAAATGAATAAGAATAGCATCTGAGGAAAGAAAGAAATCTATAATGTTTGAACTTAGCGAGTGTTGCCAAGCACTAAAGTTCTGTAACTGGAGTAGAATAGGATCATGTGGAAGTTAAGTTCCACTTCACTTAAGAATCACTTTAACTTTATGGGGGGGGCAATCTGGAAATGTCTCAAGCCAATTCATCATGCTAAAACAATGGTCACTAGAGGAAAGGAGGGAATAAGCCAGTGTCATTCCTCCAGCTGTTCATTCTGAAATTCAAAATGCTTTCCATGGTTCTTTTCTGAAGACAAAATGTTCCATGCTATGCATGGTATAGAACTTAAGAACATTCATTCGTCTCTAGAATTGTATATCAAAAGCTGTTGCCACATTGGAAATCAGATGTCCCAGTTAACTATAACAATCTTTAGCTTCCTACTTTTACAATCCTGCTTGATTTTTATTATTCAAACAGATGCTCCACAGGATGCAGAAATACCGGTACATCTTACTTCAGCTGTAACAACACACACACACACACACACACACACACACACACACAATTTTCAACAGATTTAAAATCAGGTCATGAGTTCAGGGAGGACATTTTAAATTTCTGTGTTTTAGCTTCTTATATCCAGCATTCTAGCATTTTCAACACACACATGGACAAAGAAACATGATGTATAAAGAATGCTAGTATAGGAGCTAGAGAGATGGCTCGGTAGTTAAGAGCACTGACTGCCCAGCAGTGACTAGTCCCCACATGGCTTCTCATACCCATCTATAACTCCAGTTGCAGGGGATCTAATACCCTTTTCTGGCTTCTGTGTGTATCAGGCAAGCACAAGGTACACATGCACACAGGAAGACAGCACACATACACACTTCTCATACAGTGAAAAATTGTAATCATTGTGGCTTTGTCACATGAGGCTTTATTTAAAAAAAATAAAAAAATAAAAGAAGTCTTTATAGTCATCTTCAGAAAATAGGATGAGCAGTAATGACCTTATTATCCAGTAACCAGTGATTTGTAATTCTCAAGCCAAACAGATTGTGAGCTTCACACCAATTATGACCTCAGCATACCTTTTTCCCTTTATTCTTTTCTAATTTGTGCATTATATATTTCACTTAAACAAGAATCCAATTTAAGCTTTGTAAGCTAAGGACATATCTATAATAAGGTATGATGATCAACAATTTTGTAAAATAAGTAGTAATCAAGGCCTGCAAGAAGCTTGGCAGGCTAAAGCACTTGCCACCAAGTCTGGTGACCTGAGATCAATTCCTTGCACTCACATAGTAGAGGATGATAACTGACTCCCATAACTTGTCTTGTGACTTCCATACATGCACACTTTGGCATGCATGTATACATACACACATGCATATATACAAAATAAGTACACGTAATAAAAATTAAGTTTGTATAATCTGTGTTTACAGTTGGAGCTGGAGTTTTACATGTGAAAACTACTAATCTGTATAGAAAAAATAGCCATGCATTTGCAGTCTGATGTTTTATTTTCTTTGTTTATCATTTCTTTTCTAGGGAGAATTGCCCAGTGTTCGCTCTAAGTTCCATGTCCTCTTTCTCCTCTTTGTGGCCTGCATGTTTTTTGTCAGCCTTGTGATTCTCTTTGGTTACCATTGTTGGCTTGTCAGCAGAAACAAAACTACCTTAGGTAAGATTAAGAAAATTCATATTAATGTATATCACTATGCCCTGTGGGTTGTTCCCTAAAGAGAAAATCTAGTAATAAAGTATTTTAGCTTTAGTGACAGCCCTTTGCCTCCAAATGGAGACAGATGGAAATACATTTTGCCAAACTGGACAATAGTGAACACAGCTTACAGATTCCTCAGAGCATCCAGAAGCCGAATCCATAGAGAAACCACAGTGGTTATAGTTCTTTATAGTACCTACTAGGTAATACATATACAAATTCAAAAGTCTGACTTCTAAACGGTATTCTCACAAAGAAATGAATATCAGAAGGAAGAGATGACACCAAATAAAGACAGATAATCTAACTGATGGCACATATTTCAAAATGAGTCCTTAGAATAATCCAAATAAGTGACAAGAATGATCCAAAATTCCGGGCCATCAAGATTTCTCAGCAGGTAAAGGCACTTTCCAAGAGCCTGACAACCTGAATGCAATTTCCAGAAGCCCCATGGTAGAGAGAATTGATTTCCACAGGTTCTCCTCTGTCCTCCACACTTACACAATGGCCTACACACACAGATGAACACACACACACACACACACACACACATGCAATAATAATTGTAGAAATGTGGAGTTATTTATACAAAGAACCAAACTGATAGTTACAGCTAAAGAAGTGTATAAAAGGACTATCCAAATGCAATATACATGTTAAATCTGCAGAAAATCAGTTCACTAAATGAGGATTTTTGCTGCCAATTAGTACTCTGGGCTTATTATATGCCGTACGAAAGGATGCTAGTGCAATAATTACTTCATGTATAGTTAACATGTACATGGTCTACGAATCAGTACACAAAGAATAAGAAGAAAATGTTTGAGTATTAAATGTTTTACTAGGATGGATTAGATTGAAAAGGAATTTAGTGTAAAAGCCACTGCACTTTGAGAATTCATTTGCTAGGGAAGTCTTTGTACCCATTTTTCTAAATCAAATATATGTGTAGCACTTAGTACTTAGGGTAGTAAATTAGCACATTTGGTTGAGAGATAGCTACAAAAGTAGAAAAGTACTAAAAGCTTCATGATAACAGGGTCTGAAAACAAAGGACAAATGGGAAATGGTAAGATGCAGCCAGAGCCCAACAGTGAAAGTGTTTGCTTAATGGGATAAATGTGTGTCTAAAAATAATGTGCACTAATGTGGCCCAATTCCTCATAGTCTTTGAGGTGATTACAGTTCACCCGTTGACATTTTGTCTGAAGTAAAACTAGGTTATTTTTACATTGCAGGTTTCATTGTGAACATCTTCATTTCTGAAATGTTTCAAAACCAAATCAATGTCATTACCATCTCTTTATGTGTCATTACTTTGGTCCCAGATCTACAGACAGAGACCATTTGGCTGTTGTTGCCAGTTTCATTCAAATAAAGTGCAGTTAACTGTGTTCCCGCACTCCTTAAATCCAGCAGTCCAAAGACATGCCCCCCACGAGTTCTCTATTATTGTTGTCCTTGTGTATTTTATTTACACTGGCTTTTTAAAACCTAAGAGTACAAATTTCTTATTTTCAATAAAATTTTTATCTTTTATTACATGATGAAACTGAGTTTTACTAAGTAGATTAGCAATAATTAAGAATGTGGACCTATGCTAAAACAGCAAAAAGTTCATAAATCCAGGTCACATTTTTTTGAGAGATGTAAAATCATCACAATGATGAAATGTACTGCTTTATTTCTCTCTTCCTCTTTTCAACTCTCCTGGACTGTCTTAGAGGCCTTCTGCACACCAGTATTTACAAGTGGACCAGAGAAAAATGGGTTCAATCTTGGCTTCATCAAGAATATTCAGCAGGTGTTTGGCGATAATAAGAAGTTCTGGTTAATACCTATTGGGTCTAGGTAGGTAATTATTACGACTGAAAGCGGCCAATACTGAGCTGTGCATTAAAGCAACAGATTTATTTTTTTAAAATGTTTTTGTTTAACAGTTTCACGTATTTATAATGAATTTTGGTAATTTTCACATTCCATTTCTCTTTCTCATCCCTTTCTCTCTTCTTTTTTTTTTTTTCTTTTTTTTTTTTTGTTTTTCGAGACAGGGTTTCTCTGTGTAGTCCTGGCTGTCCTGGAACTCACTCTGTAGACCAGGCTGGCCTCGAACTCAGAAATCCGCCTGCCTCTGCCTCCCAAGTGCTGGGATTAAAGGCGTGCGCCACCACCGCCCGGCTCCTTTCTCTCTTCTGCTGAAACCTTCTTCTGATAGTCTAATAGTTCTCTCTCTCTCTCTCTCTCTCTCTCTCTCTCTCTCTCTCTCTCTCT